TCTTTTTTTTTTTTTTTTTTTTTTTTTTTGAGTTGGAGTCTCACTCTGTCGCCCAGACTGGAGGGCAGTGGCCGCTCCCGGCCACCGCAGCCTCGACCTGCTGGGCTCCGGCGATCCTTCCGCCTCAGCCTTTCGAGTAGCCGGAATTACAGGCATGTGCTACCACGCCCGGCTGATTTATTGTAGAGATGAGGTCTCGCTGCCCAGGCGGGTCTCGAACCCGCGGGCTCAGGCAATCCACTCACCTCAGCCTCCCAAAGGCACGGGATTACAGGCTGAGCCACCGAACCCGGCTTATAAAACTCTTAAGGCTTCCTTTTAATGCCAACTTTAACCAGATGGTTCTTCATTTGACGAAAAGACCATGCTGTATTTGACAAAGATTAAAATACAGTAGCTTACTCCTTTCAAGCTATGAATGGAGATAATTGAAGCATAAACCATTTAATGTTTTTGTACACACTTCGACTATGTGTCTATAGTTTCTGAGGAAAAAACCGCATGTGCACTGAATATTTTCACTGTTTTACTTCTAAGATGAATCTTTAAAAAAGGACTTAATTGGATTTAGGGTTTATATCCTGAATTTTTCAGTAAATCATATGCTCTTTTGTTATGGCGTATTTCTTCAAATGAATACCAGTGATGCCTGCTATCATTATGTTGTTTCTATTAGCACTTGTTTTTTTGAAAGCAGATTTTATTAAGAGGATAGAAAAGCTCCCACAGTTGGAGGGGTCCCTATTAACACTTTTAAAGTTAGTTTTTAAGACAAGAAAAGGAAACCCATTTCCAGAAGATGTGTCTGATACTATAAAATGAATTGCTGCCACCATGGCACCAACCCTTTATTCTGACCTACTCCTCACCCATTCTCCCTGTACCACATCCTGTCTGCCTAATGAAAACAGAAACTTCTCCATCATCTTCCATTAGGAGAGAACACTGACCTTTAATGGTGAATAGTGGGCCACATCTGCAGGCTCTGATTTTATGTGAAGTTTTATGTGTATCTGGGGATTCAAGAGTTTAAGGTTCATCAACCCAGATGTTCCCATCCCATGGGGCACGTATCTACTTTCCCAGCTAGGACCCTAACCTTAGCATAGCCCACCTGCTGAGGTTGAGAATGTAACCCTCTTCACTTACTGGCCAGTCCTCCTTGCCTTCCTGCTGTAGGGGGCATGAGAACCTTTTCATGTGCTATCCAAGAGTTCCTCTGCCTTTCACACTTAGCTTTTTATCTCTGGTTATGTTCAGCCTTTGTGTTGTTTCTATAGTTCCTCAATTGAACTTAGCAATAACCATCTGATTCAGTCTTTAGAGTTAGTGTTTGTCCCACATTTCTCAAAAAGTCTGAAATTTCACACACCCATTAGTGCATTCCCTTCCACCAGAATACTATCCCAAGTGCTCAGCTAGTCCTCACTGAAGAAATCCTTACTGCTAGCTTCGCGATAGGCGATCCAGCTCCAAAATCCCATGTTAGTGTATAGTTTTTCAGATCACTTTGGTATCAACTGTTGTTGGCTGGGTTCCATGGGAAGCAGACTTTGATGTTGAGATTTACATACAGGAAGTTTCATTTTAGGGAGTATTCTTATAGTTAATACCAATGGTAGGGAAGAGAAGAAAGCAGAGTTGGGCTGCAATTCAGTGTCAGTAAAAGCTTCAGCGAACCCTGGGAACCCTGAACGTGTGATGGCCCTGTAGAGTTGTCCCAGATTGTGGTGTATGGGTCCAGCTTTTATACTTCTAAATCGACCACTTATTGGATGTAGGGTAGCCCAGAAAGGAATGCGACCTTCCGCAAGGTAGCTCTTCCAAAAAGGACTGCCTATTTAGGGTGTCTACCAGCAGTATTTCCAGAAGCTGAGAGATTAAATCCTTCATTCCTAAAAAGGGATCTGGGTTACTTGTCACAGAACTTATTACAATTTCTTGAGTATATTTTATTTTATTTTGTGAATTACTCTTAGCCATGTGGGAGGGTAAGAATTTTATTACTTTGTTGACTAAAAATTTTTTCTAGCTTGTTTTTTCATTCTTATTTCACTCAGAGTCTAAGGCATTGAATCTTCATATTGAATTGTTAATAATTAATATCTCTATTTTTATTTCTCCATGTAATGAATCATTTATTTTTTTCTATAGCATCTTTACATAATTGAATAGTGAAATGAGACTTTTTTAAAAAGTATTTGCAAAGTACTTTCAATTCCTCATCTAGCTTTGTTACTTTTCAAAGTTTATTAAATAGGTAATGAAGTGACAAAACTAGAGTCAGCATCATGTGTTATACTCCTCAAATTTTCTAAATATTCATGAGCCAACATGAATCTAATAAACTACCAGCCTTTATGCACACATGTATTGTGACTAATATAACACCAACAGAAAACAAGTGTTGAATTGTTTTTCTATGAATGGCAGTCAATTGTTGGTAGTTGTCTAGCATTCCCTTTTACTACCCTTGCTTAGCCATATTTGGTAACAGAATAGTTCTAATCCTGTGACGCTAACTGCCTTATCAGAGCACCAAGAATTTGTTTCTTTCTTGGGAAGATGTCTCCTCATTTATTCAATTTTCAAATAGGCTAAGAGTTTCAACAGTTTATCCTCACCATTATGCAATATATTCATGGGACAGTCCTGTGCATGTACCCCCTGAATCTATAATTTTTTTGAGGTGATATAGACAAGAAAGATTATAGTCATTATACCAGTGTAGTTTTATGTGTATTAAAATCTATAATTTTAAAAAAGAGTTTCAACAGCTTGGTATTTTCAGTTTAAACACATTCACCTGTTATGTAATAGTATGATTGCCCTTTTCTGGGTTTTAGTTATTTCACATAGTTCAGAGCTTACACTGACATGCCTCTTCTAGTAACTCTTACATGTCTTGGATGTCTCTGTGGCTGTTGCTTCCTAAACACTTTTTTAATACTGATTATCTACATTTTCAGATAATATTAAAATGTAGCAACTTTTAAATACGCTTAGTACATTAGTCACTGTGATCACTTTCAGTGAAATGCTTTACCATAGACATGTCTTTTCTCAAGACTTTCCACTTAAAGATACAATATAGTAATTGTTTTTAAATAATCCAAGCAAATTTGCAAGACCCACAGTGCACATATAGCATGGTACCCCTTAGTTATACAACAATCATTTGAACACATAATATTTCCAAGCTTGTAGGGAAAAAAATTGATTTTAAAAAATCAATAGGTATGACTCTTAACCCTCAGCAAGCTTTGGAAAGACAGTTGTGAAACTAGAATATCGTGGTGTATTGTAATAACCACCATGATAGGGATAACACTGTAGAGTAACAATGGAGGGAAAGCTATGCCTAGTGAGAAGAGAAGCCTCAGGAAAGAAAGGGACATTTGAGCCAGTTTTGAAGAATTAATTCACCAGGTGGCTGTGAAGTAGAAGCACAAAATAGAGAAAAGGAGTGGCATATACAGATACAAATAGATGTCAAATAATTTGATAAAATCTGGTGACTGCTTTGCTCTGTCCAGAACAGCCTTCTTGTGAGGGAAAGGTGAATTAGGTAGCCTTCATATAACAGGATTTGCCCTATATCCTGGAAGAAAAGGAATGAGATCAAATGAGTGGGGAAGTAAACACTTCATCTGGAGTGCGTATGCAACAGTAAAAAATAGTCTTGTAGAAGACTATAGTTCTATACCCATAGACAAAGTATCTTCAGTGTGGTGGAAAATACAGAACTATTTCATACATGAACATAAGAATGGTTCCACTTGGAATTTTGAGTTTAACTAATTATAGAAGTAAACAAATTACATAGCTTTCCAGAGATTCTTTGAAAATCTTTGTTGTTATAATTATTATGTAAATTAGCTGCATTTATGTGACTGAGAGTTTTCTAAAAATATTTAATGTGGGGGGGAGAAACCTTTTCTTTAAAATAGTTATGATCTTTACATCACTCTGATTAAAAGACTAATGCCATTTTAATATTCCTGTAAGTCACCTCATCATTTTAAAACCATATATTCACTAAGTAAAATTTCCATTATGCAATTATAATAAATGCCGCTACTAGAATAGTTTTTCAGTTCATCTGGCCTTTGCATTATTGTTTGATTTGACTATCATCCTATTGTTTTTCAAAAAAATGTTATTAAAATGATTGTACTTTTCAATAAAACAAACCTTCTTTAGCTGGAATTTATTAAGAAAATTCTTTTATTACTCAAAATTTGAAACAATTTATTGTTTATTTAATATGAGTGCTAAAATTTTTGGATACTGAAATACTATGATTTAAAGTAATGCTATGCCGGGCTCGGTGGCTCAGCCTGTAATCCCGCGCCTTTGGGAGGCTGAGGTGAGTGAATTGCCTGAGCCCGCGGGTCCGAGACCCACCTGGGCAGCCAGACCTCATCTCTACAATAAATCAAAAACTCAGCCGGGCGTGGTAGCGCATTACTGTAGTTCTGGCTACTTGGAAGGTTGAGGCGGAAGGATCGCCGGAGCCCTGCAGGTCGAGGCTGCGGTGGCCGTGAGTGGCCACTGAACTCCAGTCTGGGCGACAGAGTGAGACTCCAACTCAAAAAAAAAAAAAAAAAAAAAAAAAGTAATGCTGAAAACTGGATATAATAAATGTTGCTTTTAGGATGAGAAAGCAAAATGTAGTTATGATTAGAATATACTTTTTAAAGATATTGAATGAAAATTACAAAATACACAATAAAATTGCTACACATAATTGTTCTTGAAAATAAAGGATGCATTTGAAGGACGAATACCAAATAGACCCTTTAAATACATTTTCCTTAATTGTATTAATACAGAATAGTCATTTGCTTTCTTTTTAAAATCAGATCAAACTTGTTAAAATATAATTTTAAATGTTTATAGAATTGTGTTACTAATATTTTCATGTATTGCATTTTTTTGTTTTTAAATGTACACATCAGTATGACTACAGAAGTTAATTTCTATTATTTTCTTTCTAGATTTATTTCTTACAACATTATCTGCCTCTGGTACCTTCCAGTTTGAGATTTGGGAAAATATGGTAAGAAATCTTTTCTTTGCAGCATGTTTAAGTGATGGCTTTCAGTAAAAACATACAATTTTAGAAAATAAAAGTAATCACTTGGTCTATTGATTTCAACAATAAATAGAACAACTTTAAGAGCCTTTGGTTGCATTGCTGCATTCAAACTGCTGAATATTACTGAAGGAAATGATTCATTCAGCATCAATTCCTCTGCAGGTTTTTTGGCATGACTGCCAATTAAGCTAATCAGGGTACCCTAATGCGCATGTTAACAGGATCCCTGCTAAGCTGTCAGCTGTTGAGAGAGGTTACTGTCATTTAATTTGTCAGCATGATGGTTTATGAAGAAAACCCTTTTTAAAAGACTTTTCCCCTTTGCCTTCAGGCTTATGTAAAGAAACAAAAACAACAAACCCTAAACTTAGTGCCAAGTTGACTAAGATTAAGGAATCTTTCCCAATAGTGTTGAGATTTGTTTGTTTGTTTGTTCGAGTAAGTATGAAAGTTTAAATAATAAAGAATAAAACACCTGAAATCTTAAAGTTGAAATTCAGGCTGCATTGTAAAAAAGACAGGATTTGAGGCCACATAAAACCAGCCAACTCAATGGCATTCATCAAGTGTTGGTCAAGTGTTACACCTCACTTTCCTCAAATGAAAAAATGGGTATAAAAGTCTCTGCTTCATAGAATGTTTGTGAAGATTAAATGAAACAATATGTGTAAACTGCCTGGCATACGGTGAACAGGTATCCAATTTTAATTTATCAAATTTTAATTTTAAATCTTCTAATTTCTCATCTATTTACTTCTGATTGTCTTTTATTCACTCCAAATTAAATCCATAACCTTTTATAAAGTTTATTAAAATGCTGATGAAAAAATATGCAGATTTTGGAAATGGAATGTCAGCCACCTCTTATCACATGGTCTGTGATGTTGATCTCGACTCAGATTTCCTTGTGCCAGGTAACTAAGACTGGAGGAGTGGCTTTGTTTAGACACATCAGAGCTTCTAACTACTTCTATGCTAAGCAATTGGATCCCTTTTTTTTTTTTTTAAATAGGGCAAGGAAAAGTAAGTCATTTAAACCAAAAAAGATTTTTCTCTGTTTAGTGTATTTTTTTAATGTAGTTATATTTTCTGATGATAGAAATATGGTTGTTAAATTCTTTATGACTGCTGTACATTATGTCTCTGACTGTTGAGGGATATTTGTTTGCAGATGGCCTTACATTCTTACCTCAAGTGAATCTTGAAGTATTTGAAAATGAAAGATGTATTTGATTAACTTGTAGCTGAGGAGGTGAAGGGAACCTCATTAGAAATAGGTAGAATATGTATAGAACATTATGGAAAACTTAAGTAAATGATGGCCTCTCAGCCTAAGCTGATTAAAGGTAATAGAGTGAAGCAACTCAGTAAGAGAAATCTCTTCATGAAGAGAATAGATTTTGACTGGGATCTTTTTTCTAATTGTTTTCTTTTTTTTTGAGTTGGAGTCTCACTCTGTCGCCCAGACTGGAGTGCAGTGGCCACTCCCGGCCACCGCAGCCTCGACCTGCTGGGCTCCGGCAATCCTTCCACCTCGGCCTTCCGAGTAGCCGGAATTACAGGCATGCGCTACCACGCCTGGCTGATTTTTTTTTATTTATTGTAGAGATGAGGTTTCACTGCCCAGGCGGGTCTCGAACCCGCGGGCTCAGGCAGTCCTCTCACCTCAGCCTCCCAAAGGCATGGAATTACAGGCTGAGCCACCGAGCCTGCCCTAATTGTTTTCTTTAATGAAAATTAATAGATTGTCTGTTAGACAATGCGGACTAACTACAGGTTGTTCTTGCAACAAAGCAGCTGAGTCAGTAACTAACTGTTAACAAAAAATTATTCAGACACTTGTTAAAGATGGTAAGGCACATTTTCTTCTGGAGTACTACTACACTGGTGTTTTACAGAGGGGAGTGCGACTGGACTCAACTCCAAATACAAGGAAAACTGAGCAGAGTAGGGGCCATTAGAAGGGAAATTAATAAGAAGGAAGGGGGTAATAAGGAAGGGTAATGAGTAGGCTTAGTCATGCAGAAGTTATAGAGGAGGCAAAGGAAAGTTTGGTCAAGGAGACAGTCTTTCTTAGGACCCATGTTAACAATAAGATTCAGAATTAACTAGTTCAGATAAAGTGTGGTTTTCATAAAATGGATATCATTTTCAGTTAGAGATTGAACACTTTGTAGTCACACACTAAAAGACCAAAAAGAACTCAAATTCTATAAAACCTTATTAGCTAGCAACAGATGTTTTAGCCTATCAGCTGTGTGTGCGCCCCATGGTAATGTTTTGGGAGACACCGAAGTGAATCCAGCTTATAGGCCAGGAGGGAGACCTAGATGTGAGTGTGGATGACTCCGGCAGGTGTGATGAGAGATACATAACTAAGGTTACAGGAGCCAAAATGCATAGCAATTGCTTCTATCTGGTCCCAGAATTATCAGTGAGGGCATCAAGAAAAATGTGGCATTTAAAATGGCCAATACAGATAAGTGGGATTTTAGTGACTGGAAGTGAGAAAGAAAGAGGAAGAGGCAGGCAAGGAAATGCACAAGAAACACAGTACATATTCAGAGAGTAGAAAACAACTGGTTTAGGCCAGAACATGAGAGAGATATTGGAATGTGTGATTGGAAAAGTTGGTTTAGGCAATATCGGCAAAGGCCTTGATTTTGAAACTAAGTAGTTTGATCTTTTAAAAATCTATTGACAAGGAATTAAATGTTTTAGGACTAGGAGAGAGATGAATAAAGCTTTCATTATTGCAGTTAATCTGGCTGCTGTCTATCAGATAGGTTGGCATGGAAAATCTGGAGGTAGGGGGATAACTGAGGTGGAATTCACAATAACCTGGGAAAGAGGTGAATGATTACAGTAAATGTTGGGAATAGGCCAAAAGGGGTAGATATGAGAAAGCAGGATAGCCACTAACACAATGGTAAGTTGTGTTTTATTCTGGTGACCCAAAGAGAAATAGAACGGACAAAAATATCTAATTTGGAGCAGGAAAAAAATTACCTTGGAATAGAGACATGTCTCCCAGCTACTTAGGAGACTGAGACAGGAGAATTGCTTGAGCTCAAGAGTTCAAGGCTTCAGTAAGCTGATTACAATATTACACGCCAGTCAAGGAGACAGGGCAAAACCCTATATTTTAAAAAAGAATTTTTTTTTTTAAAGAAGAGACATGTCAAGGAAGTGGTTAGAAATGTAGGAACAGAACTCAAGGAAGACAGTAGATAAGTGTCATGAAGGCAAAGAGATAAGAATGGTAAAACCAGACCCTTGGACATCCTTTATGTCAGAATTTTCCAGCCTTGGTACTGTTGCCATTTGGGGCCAGATCATTTTTCCTGTGGAGACCTGCCCTGTACGTTGTAGGTTGGTTCGCAGTATTTCCTTGCCTCTACTTACTAGATACTAGTAGCCACTCCCCAGTTGTGACAATCAACAATGTCTCCAGATATTGCCAGATATTCCCAGGGTAATAAAATTGCCTTAGTTGAGAACTACTTCTTTACATGAATAAAGATATGGGCACACAGGGCAACCTTCTTTCAGGTCCCCTCCCACTTGGTAGCTTTTTTGTCTTCTTAATAAACTCCTGCTTTATCACCTCTGGGGGAAAATAAAAAGATATGGGAACTAATCCTCATAAAATTCTTTTAAAAATACATTTTAGAGATTAGTCAACTGATACTTAGAGAAGGACTAACTTATCCAAGCCTCAAATCTAGCAAACAGTGGAGATAGGGTCAATCTAGGAAATCTGTTTCTAAAACTTCTGCCCTTAAGTCATTGAAATCATTGTAAATCATTCCAGAAACCAAATAGAAAAAGAAAAGGTAAAGGCACAGTTGCAACAGAACCCCTACTGAGTGGGTTTATTTTTAAATTCAGGGATGCAGTGCAGTTTAGGAAAACACCATATTTAAAGGATGCAAAATTTCAGCTACATAGGAGGAATAAGTTCTGTTGTTCAGTACCACTGTAAGATGACTATAGTTAACCATAGTATATTGTAAAATTTCAAATAGCTACAAGAAGGAAGATATTGAATGTTCCTAATGGGGAGAAATGATTAATGTTTGAGATGATAGATATACTAATTACCCTAATCTTATTATTATACATTATGTGTATTAAAACATCACTATGTACCACATGAATATGTACAAATTATTATTGGTCAATCAAAAAATAGTGCCGTGTGAAAAAGTAGTATCATTTATTCCATAGCAAAAATACTCTAATATTTGAGAACACAAATATACAAATGTATGAGTATGTCAATGCAAACAAAAAAATGAGTCCCAAATAGCAGCCTGTGAAAAAAGTACTTGCAGATCATAAGGACAGGACTGCTATTATGAAAATACATTACAGCAAGTCCCCTACATACGAACCTTTAAGTTGCGAACTTTCAAAGATATAAATGTGCATTCACATGTCCAGTCATGTAAGTTAGTTCACATGTCTGGCATGCAATGTCATGGCATGCATCATCTGCAAGTAGCTGTGCTTTGTGTACTTTAGAGTACTTACTTGATGGTACTTTACTGTACCCTCCTACAGTCTGTAACTCTTCTTACCTTTTCACTCAATGCCAGCCCCTATACACCAGCACTTGTACTAGACTGTACTACTGTACTTTTCAAGATACCATATGGTAAGACTGAAAATGTCTGCTTCATTTTTTGTGTTTGCTTTTTATATATTGTTTGTGTGAAAAGTATTATAAACCTGTTTCAGTATAGCACTATATAGCCAATTGGGTTAGTTGGATACCTAGGCTAATTTTGTTGTACTTAAGAATACATCGGACTTATGAACATGCTCTCAGTGTGGAACTTGTTTGTATGCAGTGGTCTTCCTGTGTAGATGCCTGATACATTACATTTTGCAAAACACTTTATCATTCCATTTGATCTCCTCCAGAACCCTGCAAGTAAACAATACATTTAACCTCTTCTGACAACTGAAGAACTAAAGCCCATAGCAGTAAGAGACTGTCCCAAAGTGACCCAACTTATAAATGAAAGCAGGACTGTAACTTACATCCTCTTACTCCAAAAGTACTGCTCTTTCCACCAGATAATGATTGGGACATTTATGTAAATAAAGTATTGTCTTCTTCCCAACTATGTCATAAATATAAATATATCTCATAGCAGAGCCCAGCAGGTCAACTCTGGGGTAGCCGTGAGCATGCCACTGCACTCCAGCCTGGGCAACAAAGTGAGACTCCAATTCAAAAAAATAATAATAATACATATATCTGAGATATGGGACACTGTTAACTCAATGTTTCTTGATAGAGATTTATCATAAGGTTACATCTATATTTCTAGATATGTTTACCAAAATTTAGACCCTTAGTAGGGCAATTTTTTCACTTAAGTCAATATATTAAGTTGATATTCAGCTTTCTATCATATGAGCCTGATGTATTTTAAGAGGAATTTTTCCAGTTATTCAAGAAACATTGTATCCATTTTGTACCCAATATGGTGATTTTTTTTTTCTTCCATTTCCAAGTCTGAGTCTTACTGTCACCCAAGCTGGAGTGCAGTGGCCTGATCACAATTTTACCACAGCCTCAACCTCCTAGGCTTAGGTGATCCTTCTGCCTCAGCCTCTCAAGTAGTTGGGACTATAGGCACACACCCCATGCCTGGCTTTTGTTTTTTGTTTTCTTTTATAGAGATGAGCTCTCCCTATGTTGCCCAGGCAGCTCTCAAAATCCCTGCCTCAAGCGATCCTCCTACTTTGTCCTCCCCAGGTGCTGGGATTGCAGGTGTGAGCCACTGTGCTGTGGTCTTTCTAAAATGCAAATGTATTTGACACTTTACTTAGAAATTTGGCAACTTTGACACATCTCTAATATAATTTCAAGTCTAAGTAAGACTGGAGGGGAACTCTAAGATTTAATACTCTTATGTAAATAAGATGTCTATAGAAAAATTATTTGAAAAGTATATCACATACTTTAGTAGCTGGAGGGAAAACAGGTTTCTGCATTGGATAATGGAGTGTTAAAATGTTTCACTCCATTAAAATTGCGTGTCAAACACTTCATCGGTAAATGTACCTGATCTCAAACCAGGTGAAGTGGGGACCAAAATGAAACCCAAACTTTACCTGTACAATGACCCATTGTACCCTGCATCTTTAAAATAAGAAGAAAAAATACTGTCTGACAAAAGACAAATCTTATTTACTTATCTCAAGCTTTTGTTTTATGTGCTTTTGTTTTGTTTTGTTTTTGAGTTGAAGACACTTCATTGCCCAGGCAGGAGGGCAGTGGCACACTCCCAGCCAGCTCCATGTCACTGCAGCCTTGGCCTGCTGGGCTCAGGTGATCCTTCTGCCTCAGCCTTCCAAGGAGCTAGTACTACAGGCACACATCACCATGCCCGGCTAATTTTTTTTATTTATTGTAGAGATGAGGTCTTGCTAAGTTGCCCAGGCTGGTCTCAAACCCACGGACTCAGGCAATCCTCTCACCTCAGCCTCCCAAAGTGCTGGGATTATAGGCGTGAGCCATAGCACCTGGCCTGTGCTTTTGATATAGCAGGGCCTTTCTCTGTAAAGGTCGGCAATGATTTCTTAGACACTGACTTGCAGATTATAATATTGTGAAGTATATATTTGATCTGAGTCACCATTTCCTGGCGTGCAACTCCTAAAGTCCTCAGAATCTCCAAGATGATGTATTTTTGAATGCTAATGAGTTGACTGAAGGCTGACAACCCCTGGGTAGCTTCAGGGTAGAGGCTGGTCACCGGAAAGACAAAGGCTTTCAACTCCTCTGTCTAACTTCTGGGGAGGGGGAAGAGGGACTAAAGGTCAAGTTGGTCACCAGTGGCCAGTGGTCTGATCAGTCATGCCCATATTATGAAGCCTCTATAAAAACAAGAAAGAACTGGGTTCTCTCCTGATAGCTGAACTGGTGGAGATCCCTGGAACACAGCCCTTCCAGAGAGGACAGGGAAGCTCCACAACCCTCCTCGCATACCTCACCCTATGCATCTCTTCATCTGTATCCTTTGTTAAATCCTTTATGATAAACTGGTAACTGTGTTTCCTTGAGTTCTGTGAGGTGCTCCAGCAAATAATTTGAACCCAAAGAGGGGATCCTGGGAACCTCATCTTGAAGCTTGTCTGTCAAAAGTTCCTAAAACCCTTACTTGGGGCTTGTATGGGGAGGGCAGTTTTGGTTGGAATTGAGCCCTCAATCTGTGGGAATCTGACACTACCTCCAGGTAGATAGTTTCAGAATTGAGTGAGAGGACACCCAGATAGAGTCCACTGCAGAACTGATTACTTGTTGGTGAGGAGAAATCCCCCACACTTATTCACTGAAGTCTTCAGTCTATGTTGATTGTTGTGGTATGAGAGCAGAAGAAATAAACAGTTACTGTTTTTCTACTCAGATCTACAGTATTCTTAGAGGAATAAAGAAGAAAAAACTATTTTTTAAATATGTAGATATTCTTTATACAGTGTATAGGAATTAGTCTATTAAACAGAGAATAGAAATGTCAGTGATAAGAAGAGTTATCTATAAAAATTAGATCTCAAAATTCTAAATTAATTGTGTTGATTTTGCTTGTTTAGTAATCTAAAATTATAGAAAGAAAAGGCAGTAATTTAAAGAATTGCAAATTATTATTTTTGTACACTGTTTTATTTTGGAAAGAATAATGGAAACAAAAGCTTTCTAATGAGTTCTCCTTTCTGTTTGGCTTAGGTGCCTGAGCTTCTTAGTACATGGTAGCTGTTGCAATCCTTTGCTCCCCTTTCATTGATAGGTAAATTTGAGTTGATGATGAATTAGCCCTTTAAGGATCCACCAATTTTTCCTCTAATTTCTTCATCTTATTTCACTTTATTTTTTATTTTATTGTATTTTATCTTACTTTATTTTATTTTTTAAGACAGAGTTTCCCTCTATCTCCCAGGCTGGAGTACAATGGCATGATTATGACTCTGAGCTCAAGCAGTCCTTCTGCCTCAACCTTTCAAGTAGCTGAGAGAGACTACAGGCATGTGCCACTATGGCTAGCTAATTTTTCTGTTTTTCATAGACGAGGTCTAGCTTTGTCACCCAGGCTGGTATCAAACTCCTGACCTCAGTGATCCTTTTGCCTTGACCTCTCAAAGTGCTGGGATTACAGAAATGTAATGCGCCTGGCTCAGTATATTTTCTTTTTTCTTTTTTTTTTTTTTGAGTTGGAGTCTTGCTCTGTCGCCCAGACTGGAGTGCAGTGGCCACTCCCAGCCACTGCAGCCTTGACCTGCTGTGCTCTGGCGATCCTTCCGCCTCAGCCTTCCGAGTAGCCGGAATTACAGGCACGCGCTACCACGCCTGGCTGATTTTTGATTTATTGTAGAGGTGAGGTCTTGCCAAGTTGCCCAGGCGGGTCTCGAACCCGTGGGCTCAGGCAATCCACTCACCTCAGCCTCCCAAAGTGCAGGATTACAGGCTGAGCCACCGAGCCTGGCTGTATTTACTTAATTGTTCCCAAAAGAATCTTCTTCCCTTAAAATTTATAAAATATAATACTTTTGCTACTTACTGTTACTGCATACATATATATGTTGCCATCAGAAACTCTGTCTTTCTGACTTATAGCCACTCTCCCAACTGGACTGTAAGTTATTTGAAGGAGGAACTAGTTTTGGGTTTTGTTTTGTTTTTTTAGTCGGATTCTCACTCCATCACCCAGGCTGGAGTACAGTGGTACACTCACAGTCACCCCAGCCTCGACCTCCTGGGCTCTAGTGATCCTTCTGCCTCAGGCTTCCAAGTAGCTGGAACTACAGACGCATACTACCCGGCTAATTTTCTTTGTTGTTATTTATTGTAGAGACGAGGTCTTGCCGAGTTGCCTGGGCTGGTCTCAGACCATGGGCTGAGGCAATCCACTTGCCTCAGCCTCCCAAAGTGCTGGGATTACAGACTGAGCCACCAAACCCAGCTAATGAACTCGTTTTTATACTTCTTTATATGTTCCAGAGCCTTTCGTGGTACTTAAAATTCCTATAGTCTGAAATTTTGATGATTTGGTAAAAGATACTATTCCAGAATTGACAGCAGGGAAAGCACTCCAGATTTACATTTTCTTCAACTCACAGCAGTTTCTTTTGCTTCATAATAAAAGTGGAAGTATTTATTTTTTTCTCTAGTTCAGTTAGAATGCTTTGTTTCACACTTGAAAAATGAGTTTATTGTGATGGTCTAATTCAAAGTTTTCCACATTTAACAGGATGGAAACTTCTCCATCAGCAGTAGCATACTGGAAAAACCTCAAAATATGATGGTGGTTGGACAGTCAGCATTTGCAGACTTTGGTAAGATTGTTTTTACTTTCAGTGTTTCCTCTCAATGTTTTCCCCATAGCAGAAAAAACTTGAGTGTCTTTAAAACTTACCTACTCTAGTATTATATATGGCATGTGGTTGATTCCTTAATGAAATAAGGAGAAATTTACGACATATGTGTTTAAAAAATAGTTTGCTCCTGTTTACAGAAGTAACATACAAAACAAAGAAGTCTACTAAGGCTTTTCTAGAGAATGCCAGTTATTAGTTATCATAAATTCTTCGTCTACATCCACTGTATGAGCAAATAGAATTGGCAGAGTTAATTTGACCTCTGAAAACCAATATTGAAAACTATTTTTAATTTACATTTTAATTCCAAAGAAGAGTAACATTTATTATGAATTTCCCAAAAGAGGACATACGAATTTCTGTTTTCTGTAAGATTCTACAATTACACAGTTAATCAAGTTCATGTTGGTTAGGAACTTCCAAAGTATATATGGTTCTTCTCATCATTTGTCAGGATTAAAAGGATTTAGTTCAGGGACAGTGGCCTATGCCCGGTCAACAGAGCAAGACCAGACTGTGCAACATAGTGAGATCTCATCTCTACAGAAAAATCAAAAAAATTAGTTGAGAATGGTGACACATGCCTGAAGTCCCAGGATGTCACCTGAACCCAAGAGGTTGAGACTGTGAGTCATGTGACTGCTGTGAGCCATGATCATACCACTGTACTCTAGCCTAGGTGACAGAGGGAGAATCCAACTCAAAAAAAAGAGAATTTTAGCATTGAGTATGAAAGTGGTTTGAGTGACCCCACCTAAAAGATGCCTAACACTCACTCCTATCCTGCTATTCTTTCATTTGACCAAGAAACACTTCTGGCTTTCCTCAAAATGTAGGTGAGATGTCACCATGTTCAGAGACTTCAATTTTCTCATTTATAAAATGGAAATGGCAACAATATCCACCTCTCAAGATTTGAGAATAGCACTATATATATATAGTACTGTGTGGGTCTTAAAAAGAGCACAAGAAATTATATTTTGAGCCAGGTGTAGTGGCTTATGATTATAGTCCCAGCTACTTGGGAGGTTGAAGCAGGAGGATTGTTTAAGCCCAAGAGTTCAAGTCCAGCCTGAATAACATAGTGATACTCTGTCTAAAAAAAAAAAAATTTTTTTTTAAATTACAGTTTGAATTTTGTTGTTAGACTTAACTTGTGTTTGTGCTTGTTATTGTCGCTGTTACTCTGTACTCAGTAGACTCACTACTCAGGGTCATATAGATGTATCCCAAGGCAGCTAAACAAGAGGTTTGATAGTGTTATATAATGGAAATTTTAGCATGAAACTCTATATTATACTATATTTTAGTTTTATTACATTGGATATTACTTTAGTTTTGAGCGAATTTCTGTTGCCTGTTTTGTTTGTTTTTGTTTTTGTTTGAGTCAGAATCCCACTCTGTTGCCCAGGCTGGAGTTCAGTGGCACACTCATGGCCACCACAGCCTCCACCTGCTGTGCTCAGATGATCCTTTTGCCTCAGCCTTCCAAGTAGCTGGAACTACAAGCATGCGCCACCATGTCCAGCTAATTTTTTTGATTTATTGTAAAGACGAGGTCTTGATATGTTGCCCAGACTGGTCTCGAACCCATGAACTCAGGCAGTCCTCTAGCCTCTACCTCCCAGAGTGCTGGGATTACAGGCATGAGCCACCACACCTGGCTTGTTTTACAATTTTTAATGCAAATAGTCAAGTGGTAAGATATGAGGGGAGACCCCCCCGCAAAAAATGGAATTTATTTATAAAAAATTGTATATTTGCATGTTTAAACTTCAGTCACCTTCAAAGTACTCTCTATTTGTGCAATACGCCTATCAGGACACTGTTTCCATTGCTCAAAGTAGTTTTTGAATTTGTCAATTTTAATGCCTTTTAGTGCTTCTGCCGTTTTTTGTTTCAACTCTTCTACATCCACAAAAGGTTTCTCCTTGAGAACTTTTTTTGTACGGGGAAACAAAAAAAGTTTACCGGGATGAGATCAGGTGAATACTGAGGGTGTGGCATAGGGGGCAAGCTGTTCTGGGTCAAAAACTGCTGAGCACTCAGAGCTGGTGTGGGCAGGTGCACTTATAAGTCACCCAGCATGAAATGGGCAAATGCATTGAAAGAATCTCCAAAAAAAATTCACTGAAACTGATTGCAGTCTAACAATGCTAGGTAGTATACTGATGCCAATGGGTTCCTCAGACACTTACCTAGTGGGGGAAGCCTGTACTATAAGGAGCCTGCCCAAAAAATAATTCTGTGTCGGTCACCAGCACTGACCAAGGGTGGGTTAGGACCCGCACCAGAGAATCTGGACAGCGAGAAGAGACTACTCGGAGGCAGTTCTTCTGGGAACAGTCTGATCAGGACTGGAGCCAAATTTTATTCGGACTCCTTCCAACTTATATACCATTTTCTATACCCTCCAGCAGTGTGATAATCACTCACTGGGGGTGTACAAGTTCCGTGCTTTACAAACTATGCATCACAAGACCACCACGAGATCTGCAATTTCCAAGTAAACAATTCGAATTCCATGATGCCTGCCGTGCTTACATTAAGGTCACAGGTGCACAATTTCAATACAAATCGTTCAAAGTGTTTTCCATAATGTTCAATGAATCATTCATATTATACTCTTTGTTCTATACCCTGATTAATACAAAAAACTTTTCTAAGTTAACTCTAGATTCAATCCAAGTTCACTGACTCCCAATATTTTTAACGATTAATATTATCAACTTAACACTATACTATAATCTATAAGTTTAGTTAAATGACTTAACTGTCAGTTATACTATTAATCTATTATGATTTAACGTAATGCCTTATAACTCTGTTAAAACTTATTCTTAAACTACAAAACTTTACTATAATTCATATGTTTCATATGTCTAAACTTTAATTTTTATATGATCTAGTGATTGGACTTTAATACTATGCTATATCCTATTAAGCTAATACCTCATCATTAATTCTTTTATAAATCGTATAGTAATTATTATATTTGAATAATGTAGCAAAAGGAAACAAAACAGCAAGCATAAATTTATGCAACTATGAGTGTATATGTATATATTTTATCCTAACAAGTCTACTCTAAAAATCAAATAGTAGCTGTCACACTCTTGAACAAGGAAATGCATGGTTGCCAAGATGGCGGCCATGGGCTGAAGCAGACAGAGTTTCGGTAATTAACGAAACAAAAGAAAACGTTCTGCCTGGCTAGGGGCAGGGCGACAAAACTATCATGGTAATTTAGTTTCTAATCTTAGCCCTAGGGGAAACAGCTTTCGGGAACAAGAGCTGACTACCCAGTCTACCAGGAAATAGAAGTTAAAAAATATCTAGAAAGAAGTAAAACTTAGAAAGACAGAGAGAAATAATTCTGCTATGCACTTTCCATCAGGTGTATTGAGATTTACTTATAAGTTTTACTGCCATGTATGCACACTGGTCACTAATCACACGCCAATATTATAGGTATAACTGATATCCTATGTCAGAAGCGATCTTCCAGATGGGCCTTTACAGGCCTCAGCCATGTAGCTATAGATGTTGGCTCCCAACAATTCTGGTTTGTTTTTTTTTTTAGTCCCCCTTGCACATGAGATCATTTATTGAAATTTGCTGACTGATTTGGTTGGCTGGATTAATAACAAGTCTCTCTTTAGAAAAAAAAGTATATATGACCAGGGCCCTTGAGGGGGCACAGGCTACGGATCTACCAGGGGCTACGAAGCTAAGCAGAAAAAAAGTATATATGAGCATATATATAAAATTCTTTGGGGGGGCGTCACAGACTGGTTAAGAACCTCTGAATTAAAATTATATGTTTTATGATTGTGTTTTATATTGTAAAAGCCTTGCTTTGAACAAAATTATTAGTAGCTTTACTTTTCAATTTCTTAAGATTTTACTAAACATACACATTTATATGTTAGTGTTTTAAAATGTGCACCATAACACCATGTAATCCCAGTACTTTGGGAGGCCGAGGCAAGAGAATTGCCAGAGCCTGCAGGTTCGAGATCAGCCTGGGCAATATGGCAAGACTTTGTCTCTACAACAAATCAAACAATTAGTTGGGTGTGGTGGCACTCGCCTGTAGTTCCAGCTACTTGGAAGGCTGAGGCGAAGGATCACCTGAGCCCAATAGATCAAAGCTGCGGTGACTGTGAGCAATGTGCCACTGCACTTCAGCCTAAGGATGGAGTGAGACTTCGACTCCAAAAAATACATACATACATACATACATAAAATGTGCAGCATATAGGATATAGTAAAATTAAGAAACATAATTTTAAAATGTATTAGTGAACTTTTGAAAGTTTAAATAGTTCACAATCCTTTTTTTAAAGTTGTGTATTTTTAGTTGGATATTGTCAAAGAACAAAACTCCTAATGAGTCTAAAGTATAAATATTAATATATCCAAAATATGTATTTTTCTATTAAAAGGAATAGGTCTGTGAATTGCAGCCTACCCTCCGTCTTTCACTTCATCCCACTTCCTTTGAACCATACAAGGGAAGTGACTGACAGCCAGCAAGTCAGCATGATGTCAGACATTTACCATTTAGTTGATAAAGAAAGTAATGATTGAATAAATCTTTTCAGTGACAAAAAGAAGCCTGTACCAAAGAGGAGTGTTTAGATGTCTACCAGCTCACTTGTCTTTAAAAAAGAATATACAAGATAGAAATACATCAAAAGAGTAATATTGGTTGTGTTAAAGTTGGATAATAGGTTATCTTACTCCCTATTTTCTAAATTTTCTGTTCTGTTGGTTAGACTAATTTAATGTTAATTTAATAGTGAAAAAGTAAATTATAGAAAAGTAATAATAAACAGTGGCAAGAAATCAAAATATGTACTTATTGCTCAGTAATTTATTTTTAAGTGTTAGAATTTATATCATGGAATTTGTAATTTCATATAAAATTTATTCTATCTTCTTTGTGACCTGAA